CCACATATGCACCATGATAATGTAATAATTAGGTCAGGCCCTTGTATATTGCACCCTCATTTCTCAGGCAAATAAACTGAGATTCAGAGAGGTTGAGACGTTTATCTGAAACGACCCATCTAGTGAGTGGCAGAGCTGGGGTTCAAGGCAAGCCGCGGAGCTGGTAACCGCTAGCTTCTGCACACACAGCCAGGAAGGAAGTAGGGTCAGGAGCCCCATCATACATCACAGGACACCCCCCACCGCCCAACCAGAGGACCTCCCGTGGCCACAGACACATCCAGACCCCTGATTCGCAAAACAGAACCATCATCTTCCTGACAAGCAGAGGGCGCTCGGTCTGGTTCCTTGGCGGTCCGAGATGGGCAGTCTTCCCCAAAAGAGCAGAGTTTTAGCCCACTTGTCATTCAGCCACTGTCTGACCCCTGGCAGGGAGAGTGGCTGTTCCCTGAACATCAGCCTTCAAGATGCAACACGAACGAGTTCAGTTGTCAACGAGCAGTAAATGTTGTGTCCAGTGCTCCTTGTAAAGTCATGATGCACGTCAGCCCCTGAAAGGCGAAAGGATGTCCTGTAATAAACGCCCAATGAAATAACATTTCAGAGACATCTATACCTTTTTTCCTTTAAATAACATTAACACACTTTGGGAAACATCGTTCTATACCAGAGCCACCTTTGCTGTGGGAGGACTTTGTGAGCTTGTGTGTGGGTTGCTTGCGGCCTTACCTGCCGTCTGCCGTAGCACGTGAGGGGACTCTGACACCTCTGGGCTTGCTCAGCTCCTCCCTAGGACGAGAAGCCTCTCACCTGCCCTTCGCCTGGTCCTCCGGCTCTTGGAGGTCCAGAGCATAGGTAGGTGGGATGCTGCCAGTGAGGGCTGCCCAGCTGCACTTGGCCTGGCCCCCAGCTGGCCAGGCAGCTGTCTGTCACAGCAGCTCCCCAGAGTGATGGACCGCCAGTGGCACTGGACTCCATATGCTCGGCAGATGCCAGGCTTGGGACCAAGGCCCCGTCTCCGAGAGCTTGGCTGGCTGTTCTGGAAGGTGGTCCTGGCTGGTGGCCATTCCCGAGCCCCTGTTTAGAGCAGTCGTCAGACAGTGGGTAAGTTCCAGCTCACCCCCGCCCCTGGCCCCCCAGCAGGGCTGAGTGATCTCATACCTGTGCCATGCTGGGAGGGAAGGGGCTGGCGGGGGTGATGGGTGATGATCAGGGCAGGTACGCAGGTCAGGGGGCAAGGTCTGAGGCCAGGGCCGGCATGCAGGGCTCCACCCCCACTCAGGGTCCCAGACCCCAGTGTGTGCGGTTTGCTCTCAGTGGTGTGTGCTGACCCAGAGGAGCTTGGGGCATCGTCTGAGGTCTGGCTGCAAGCCTGTGGGTGCAGCAGCACTGCCCCCAAAAGAGGAGGGCAATCAGGGTGACAGGGTGCTTGCTAACAAGGTCAGCTGTCGGAGCTCCCCTTCTAATCGCCCTGCGTCCCCTCAGCACGGCTCCCCGTCTCTGAGCGCAGCCGTCAGCCCCAGAGCTGGCTTTGGGGAAGAAAAGACACTCATTTGGAGCCCACACACCCCTGGACCTTGGGCTGCAGTTTATAAACTAAGGCTCTTTTCTGCCCAGAAGTCCAGAAGTTTCTGGGTTCTAAGCTGCTCCTGCCACGTCCCAGGTCCTGTTGAAAGAAGATGTTGGGGGCCCCCTGCTGGTCCTCCCAGGGAACTGATGAAGGTGGGGGTGAAGCGGGTAAACTTGAAGATTTTGGTGAGAGGGAGCCTTTGCTGGCCCAAGAGGAGAGCAGTGACACCCACCTACCCCGCCCCCCCCCCCCCAGTTCTCCTTCCCATGGTGTCTGGCCAGGTTTTTTACTGAAGCCTGAACGCGAATCTGACTGCTGGCCGCTTGGCTTTTCCTTGGCCTTTCTGTCCCTGTGCTCCCTGGGACCCAGTTCCATCTGCACTGCCCGCGCCCCTCCCAGCCACCCCAGGGCTTGCCGGCCAGGACACTCCAGGCCTCGCTCCTGCTTTCGCATGCTCACAGGTTTGCGGGTTCTCCCTACCCCTCCCTCTCGCACCTGCTGGCGTAGGAAGGGTTTTAGGACAGGTTGTGGGGGAATGGTCCCTGCAGCTATCCTGGACGCTAATAGCCTCGGGGAATCCCGGCTTACTGCTGCGCCACCTCCTAGTGTGGTGACATTGACATTTTTCTGGGATGAATACTTGATATCAGCGAACTGCCTTGGAGAGGGTTCCACTTAACTCCCCTCTCACCTGTCATGAGGGAGGGGCTGAGACACAGAGATTTGAAGCCTCCTTCCCCCTGCCCCCACTCCCCCAGCACCAAGGGACCTGTCCAAGGTCAGCCTCTGCATCCAAAGCTTCGCCAGACTGTCCTCTCAAGGTTAATAAGAGCACACTTGTTTTTCTCTCGCCAGCCACAGGTGACTCGTGGCACTGAGCCGGAGGTCCAGGGGGGACACATAGTGGGGTCACTGGAGAAGCAGATCGACTGGGGTCTGTTGTCACTGCCTGGGGCTCTGGACATTGGCTCCACTTCCCCCATACTTTCCCTCCCGTTCTTGTCCTTAGAGGTGAGGTAGAAGAGCGCCTGCGGGAACTGCGAGCAGGGGCCTCGTTGTTTCTTTGACCCAGGGGTGGGAATGCAGGGTGGGGGGCACAGGCGGAAGCCGCCCTAGCCTGGCCCTGCTAGTTGGCCGTGCCCAGCGTTCCCTAGCCTGCAGGCAGCCTGACCCCAGCCCTGCGGTGGGGCTGTGCTGCCCCCTGCTGGCCACGCTGCAAAACGCAGCCCAGAGTCTTCACGCAAGCCTGCCACGCGGCTGGAGGCTGGGGCTTCAAGGAACAGACTGCGTGCGCCTGCCCACAGTGATTCTAGGACTTCATGGGGAGACAAGTCTAGAGCTGCCTGGCGTACAGTGATGTCGAGTGAACAAACGAATGAATGAATATAAATTCATTTAGGTATTGATGGCCTGTAATGTCTGACCAAGAACAGACAATGAATTAAAGCAGACATTATCAGGCGGGAACCGAGACTCCGCTTGGATTGACGAGACCTAAGTAAGAAAAACAAATGTGCAGAGTCAGTGCTAGACTGTGACACGGGTGACCATAGAGCAGCCTGGCCCTTGTTGCCAAGCTGCCATGTGGCTGGTGGGCAGTAAGCGCCCAGGCGGATGGAGAGGGCCTTCAGGGAGGGCGTGGCAAGGGTGAGGGGGACACAGATGGCAGGGGTAAAAGTCACAGGGCAGCCTGGGGGACCCCGGGCCGGCCATTCAGCATGGAAGGTAGGCAGAGACGAAAGCACCGCTCATGTCTTGAGGCACACGACAGGGCAGGCACAGGGTCTGCCCTTAAGACAGGTATTATTTCGTCAGTTTTCACAGCCACCCTGTGAAGCAGGTGCTATTATCTCTGTTCTACATTTGAGAAAAAGGAGGGTAGAAAAGGCCCGTGACTCGTGCAGGGTCCTACGGCAAGAACCTGTGGAGCCAGGAGCCCGACCTCGTCTCAGATTTGGCGTTCAGTTGCAGGAAGTGTGCTCACAGACAGGCTGGGGGCGGGGGGGAGGCGGGGGGTGGTGTCAGGACAGCCACCGAAAGGCTGTTAGCCATCCCAGTAGGGAATGAAGGAACTGTCTGTGCCCCACTGGGCTTCTTATGGACACCAGCAAGCAGAGGCCTGCACCTGCAGTCCTGCCCCCAAGCTGTACGCCTGCCCCTCGGCACCAGAGCAGGGGCTAGGAGTGCGGGACTTGAGGAGAGGGCTTCTGGGAGGGACAGATGCTCTGCGGACAGCTTGGCGGACCAGGGCCGTGCTCCTGCCGAGGCAGGCCCAGTCCGAGGGGCTCCGCACCCTCGCGCTCGCCCTTCCCCCTCACTGGCTGCTGTGCTTTCCAAGAGCGTGGCGAGGTGACGAGGCTCACCCTGCAGCTCTGCCCGCAGCTCCAGGAAGGGGAAGTTGTGCGGGGCCTCCGGCTGCTGCCCGGCCTGCTGGGGCTTCCTCCCTGACTCTCCTGCCTCCATGGGAGAAGCACAGGCTTGACATGCAGCCTGGGGTTCAGATGAAAGGCAGGGGAGTCTTCCCTAAGCCGGGTAAGGCTTTGCCCGCTCAGGGCACCCTGGCCACCATGGCACCAGGACTGCCTGAGCCCCCTTCCCAGAGGCCTCAGCTCTAGTGCAGGTGTGTGATCCACTTGTCCCCCCATGGGAGCCTGGGTTGGGGAGCAGCACATGGGCTCCCAGCCCCAGATTGGGGGCGGGGGTGGTGGTGGTGCTGACCTCAGGCCTATGTGATCCAGCTTCCCACGTTGCCTGACCCCTCAATTCTGGCACACTTCCTCCATCCCCCATCAGTCTCTGCTCCTCGCCCTAGGTCCTTGGCGTGCCTTTGTCTTTTCATTTGGAGCCATACTTATTCGTACTTACTGTTGATTCTAATTATACTCAAGTGAAGCAAAAGTAGAGTGTTCACTCCTAAGAGGTGGACTGTATGGGGTTTGAACACCCCAAGAGCACCTCTGCCTTACCAGGATGCATGAGTTCACACCTGCTGTCCGTGACACTCGTGTTCATCAGAAGCCCCATTTCCCCTGGGAACGGGGAGCCCTGGGTCTGCGCACGCCTTCCACACACCCCTGGGGAGGCACGTTGTTTTCTTACAGCTGGGGACGCCTCGAGTGTTCAGAGGGCTAGTCGCTCAGCGGAGATCTTTACTGAGCACCTTTCCTGGGTCAGACAGGGTGTCAAGCCGTGGGGCTACAGGAGGGAATGAGAAAGGCCCTGTGCCTGCTCTCCAGGAGAGTGTAGAGATGGTGCAGTGAGGGGCATGAGAAGGAAGTGAGAGAAAAGGCAACTCAGAGGAACAAAGCAGATTGGATTGCAGGGTGGAGGGGCGTCTCTGGGCTGAGACTGACGGTGCAGGGGACCCAGCCAGCCCGGAGCCCGCAGCAGAATGGGCGGCTGCCCCTGACCCCAGCGCTCGCCCCTGCAGGCTGGTGGAGGAGTTCATGCTCTTGGCCAACATGGCAGTGGCCCACAAGATACACCGAGCCTTCCCTGAGCGCGCCCTGCTGCGTCGGCACCCCCCACCCCAAACCAAGATGCTCAGTGACCTAGAGGAGTTCTGTGACCAGATGGGGCTGCCCATGGACTTCAGCTCCGCTGGGGCCATCGATGTGAGTGCCAGGAGCCTGGGGGGCAGGGAGAGGCTCTGTTTGGGGAAGAGGAGGAGGGTCTGGGAGTTGGAGGTGCAGCAGCCTCTGTGTTCCCCCACAGTCTGTTCCCCTTCAGCTGGAACTCCCCTGCAAGAGAGAGGGGAGGCCCTGGGGAGAAGGCCTCCAAGTCACTGAGGCCCTGGCCGTGGATGGCGCTCCCTACCAGGATCCGGCGAGGAAGCCGCTTGAGGCTCAGCTGTGGGCTGGGGTCCTGTAGCCAGGGACGGGCTAGGCCTGGGCCCAGAAGTTTTCAGTAGGGGGCTGGGACCATCAGAAGCCAGAGAACATTTTTATGGTAAGTGGCATCCGGTGTTCCCTGCCTGGAGCCAAGCCTCACGGGGCTCAGGGATCCGTGGCCTCGGGTCTGATCCTCTAGGTGGAAGACTGTTCCTACCTGTGCACCAAGCCTGGTGGGGGTGGGACGGTGCCTTAGGTCAGACAGCCAGAAACCAGTCTGTCCAGGCCAGCCAGCTGGGCGCGGAAGGACTGACCTCAGAGCTGAGGCCCTCGAGTCAGGCCCAGTGTGGGGCACAAGCTGGGGGGCGGCTGGCCCCCTGCCCCCCACCTATGGCCGCCTGAGCCAGGCTGGCCCCCTCAGCTGATGCTTCCTCCCCGGAAGTGGGTTTCAGATGCTCAGCGGGTGACAGGTCCCAGAGCCTCCCCCTAAGCCTGACGGCATATCACACGGGTTTGCTTCTAGAAAAGTCTGACCAAACTATTTGGAGATGACAAATACTCACTGGCCCGGAAGGAGGTGCTCACCAACATGTGCTCCCGGCCCATGCAGGTAAGGGGGGCCTAGGCCCCCATCCTCCCCCTTCTCCCAGGAGCACTCATGACCTCTGCACATGCAGAGGAAAGGGGTGGGGGGGCACCCCCAGGCAATGCCTAGGACGGTGGGCCCTGGCTCCTGAGCCCGATCTGCCACCTCACCTGCTCAAGGATGGCTGGTTTGGGGCCCTTAGAGGGCCCCGCTTGAGCCCACTGCCCCCTGCATGGCCTCTGGGGCTCTGTTTCCTGTAGAAAGCAGGGTGCCACCACAGTGCCCAATTCCCACAGACCAGCTTGGGGACGGGAATGAGGAACTGTCAGCAACTTGTGGCTGGATGGGGACTCTGGAGGGGAGAGACAGTCTCCTGAGCAGCCTGCCCAGGGGAGCAGCCCTTAGCCCCCACCGCGGCTGGTGGACCCAGGTAGAGAAGCCGCCCTCTCAGCATCCATGGGCGTCTGCAGGCAAGATGGCAGGCCAGCAGCCTGGGAGATAGAGGATGGCTTGCTCCTGGCAGCCTCTCAGCCCTCTGAGGCTGAACTCCACCCCCTGCAGGCCCGAGCACCTTGGGAAGGAGCCAGCCCAGGGGACTGTGAGGCCAGCGGGAGCTGCACATGCTAATGGCATTAGTTCTGGGCCACAGTCCGGCTGGGACAGTGACAAACCATCTTTCAAGGGCTCATTCACTCAGCAGATTCATTGTGTTCACAAGAACCAGGTGGCCTCAGCTGATTTCTTGTCTGACACCTCAAGCTCTGCCGGGAATGGAGCCATCGGGTCTGTTTAGGTCAGGCTGTCCGGTCACAAGTTTCTGTCCCATACCAAACTCCTTAAAGCATCCCACACAGGAGCAGGGGGCTGCCTGTGGCCACCAGGCTGGACACCATTCTGCCCTCCACTTGCCCCTGGGTCCCAAAATCTGCCCCCTGGCTGTGCTGTGCATCCTCTGCCCCTAGAAGCCGTCCTCCTCCAAGGTCAAGCCAGCCCTGCAGCCCCACAGAAAGGAGACCTCCCCTGAGTCACCCAGAGCCCGAAAATGACTGGACTTCTGGCCTGGCCTGCCAGTGACCTCAGAGGCCAGCCTTTGCCTCAGGAGCTGATGGCAGGGAGTGCCCAGAGAGTCTAGTGCCCCTGTTCTCCCGGCCCCAAGAACTGGGGCAGGGACGGGGAGCCAGCCAGGGGTGGGCATGAAAGTCCTACGTGAGCTGCTGAAACAGGACACCAGGGCTATCCCGGGGATGGCTGGTCACTGTGGGAAAGCCACAGTCCCCGCCCATCACACTCTGCCCAGAGACACCTTCTCCAGCCAGCCTCTGCCCTCCTCACCCCAGCTGTCTGGGGAACTGGGCCACCGCTGAGAACAAAGCCCGAACGTGCTCAGAGTGGAGGTAGTTCCCCCACCACCACCCC